GGAAGAAGCAAAACATTTAATTAAAATATCCGACAGACGGATGATTCGTATAGAATAATCATTTAAATTACCCTCTTAAAAATGAAACCAGAAACTTTAGTAAAAAGAATAATAGAAGCTGTCGAAACGGAATCACCAACTACAAAAACTTACAATGGTAAAAAGATTAAAATATCTAAAAAAAATTATCGATAAATATAAACATTGTAACGTTAGAGATGATATAGATTTTGAAAGAATTGATAAGAGTGTAAAGGAAGGTGGATTTTTACCTTTCCTACCTTTGATATTTGCCGGTCTGGCCGCGGCTGGTGCAGCAACTAGTGGGATATCTGCCGCAGTCAAAGCAGCCAACGCCAAAAAAGCAGCGTTGCTGAAAAAAGTGAAAAACGTAGACATAATATGGAAATGGAAAAGATAGCACAAGGTTCGGGAGTAGCAGATATATTAGGGACAGTTAAAGAATTTGGAAATCGATTTAGTGAAGAAACCAAGAAAACTGTTAAAGAGGGATTAAGCAATCTAATACATAAAATCGACACAGGAGAAACGAAGGTCAAATATAAGGGTAATGGTATATTTTTAAAAACAAACGTTCTGGAGAGGGAATCTTTCTCTCAAAGTATAAAGGAGAAGGAGTGATTTTTGGAACAAAAAAAATGGGAAAGAAATTTAATCATTCAGAAATGTTTCCTATTAACCCAATGCTCATGTGTATTTGTGGAAGCTCAGGTTCTGGGAAAACTTATTTGATCTTTAACATGTTAACACCAAAACTTTCAGATTTCGATTCATTATATATCTACACAACAACACCAGAGCAATCGTATTATCAATTCCTCAAAGTTTTAGAATATATACCAAAGAAAGACGTTCAGGACATATTTAAATATTATGAAGACAACGATGATATAGAAATAAAAGAAATCTTAGATACATATATAAAAGAAAAGAATCCATCTTTCAATCCAACGGATATAAAAGTTTTTCTTATGAAAAATGTTAATGATTTAGATTTGTCTAAAATTGATAGTGAGCGAAAGAACTTAATAGTGGTTGATGACTGTGTAGCACAAAGAAATCAAGCTGTTCAACAAGAATTCTTCACTAAGGGAAGACATCACAATTGTCACTGCATATACCAACCCCAATCTTTCTACGGTATGGATGCAATGTTGATTCGAAAAAATGCAAATTGTTTTTTATTATTGGAATTGAACGACAAAGATTTATCTCAAATTATTCAGTCAATTAATCACGGAATGGATATAGATACATTCAAAAAGGATTGTAAAGCACAATGGAGAAACCCAGATGATCATGGATATAACCTGCAGGTTATGACAGGCATATGTTAATTTTATTTCTTTAAAAATGGGTGATTGGAATAATATTATAAAAAGAAATAGACAATATATCAAAGCTTAGAATAAAATAAAGACCCAAGTTGAAAATAACAGATTACAACAACTTGGATTAACAGAAATTCTACAAACTCAATTTCAACCAATATTAAAAAGTCAAGAAGATATTAAAAAAGAGACTCGAGTCTCCTATAGAACCTATATAGAACCTCATCACCCCGAACCGATTGAATATGATGGTATTATAATTAGGACCTTAGATGATATAAAACGTTATTTTTCAAATCCAAAGCCAGATTTACCAAAGAGCATTTCACCAATCGTTGATGAAGAGGGGTTATTGTTTAATGGATTTAGAATAAGATTTAGTGGAAATTCACCAATATTCAAAATCGATACAAAACAATTTATATTTATATTAACAGAAGGATTAATAGATTTAATAAATGGGGGGATGTTGGTTCACGAAGTGACAATATTGCCGATTACAAGGATTTAGTAGAATACTCAGAATTTCTACATACGATAAGAAAAAATGCCAAATAAAGAACAATTAATCGTTATCACTTCAAATAAATCAGACATTAAATTGTCTCTAGATTATGAGTACGAACTCGATCGCAATGAAGAATATGAATTGGGATTAAAATATTTCTCTGTTTACAATTCCATTAGAAATATCAACGAAAATAATAACCAAATGAAAATATCAACAGATAACGGAGCTACATTCAAAACCATAAGTTTACTACCAGGAAGCTATGAATACGTAGCCATAAACGAATATCTATCTGAATATGGAGGAAGTGCAAATGGTAAAAACAATATTGAATTCGAAGGTAATTTGAATCTGAACAAAATAAAATTGATATTGAGAAATAAGAGTCAAGTTGATTTCAACGTAGAAAATTCTTTGAATACTTTATTAGGATTTGATAAGCAAATATACACACAATCCACTTTAGCGCCGCATAAAGCTAATATCGAGAATGATATCGACGTCATTAATGTTTACTGTAATTTAATAAACGGTGGATTTTTCCATCAACACAAACGTCAGATTATTTACAGTATTCCAACATTCACTGTACCGATTGGATATAGAATTATAGAGAAACCATTTCAAACAACATATTTACCACTTAATTCGTTCATGATTAAAAATATAAATCTGGAAATCAAAGATGGTAAAAATAGGTTTATTGATTTTGGTAACGAAGAAATTGAAATTCAACTTCATTTAAAACAAAAGAACTAAATTTATTGAGTAATTAATCACTCTTCATTCTCTTCTTGATTATATAGGTAATCGAAATCATCAAATTCATAGTTTTCATCAAAACTATACTCTTCTTTATCATTATAAGGAAACATAATTCCTTCACGGTTTGGTGGTTTTCTCTTTACAAGATTCAAATAACTTCTAAAAACTTTCTTTTGTTTATCATCATCCTTTGGAATAACTACTCCATTCGTGAAACTCCTTTCCCATCTTTTATTAAATTCATTCGACACATCATGTCCACTAGCCAACTGAATATAATCTTCTACACTTGTCTTATTATTAGAATAACCCTTAAACGTTTTCTTTTCTTTTAAAACACCATCATAAGTTAGAATGATATTATATTTGACTAAATATAAACCAAATATCATTCCACCATCAACATAATCATTCATTTTCAGATACCGACTCAGCTCGATTTAATTTATCCCAATTTCTAGATGAAATGTATAAACTATCAGTATCGGTATAGTATATTTCAGGTTAATAAAATCCATTTATTACATGAATGAAATTATTCATTATTTTTTTACTGTCAGATAAAAAGAATGATCCCAAATGACTAGGTGTTAGTCCTGTAGATTTAGTTGAGTGATCTTCAGCAGTTATCTCATTTTCTTCAATTTCTGTCTCAACGAAATATTGAGTTTCATTTATTTTTTCATAGTTTTTAACATGTGAGTCGAAGTTAGCCTGACAAGTTACTTCATTCCACAAATGATTTCTCGTGTTTCTATTTACCATACAATGAATTACCTAATAATTTCATGCAATTACTACCTACGATATTACCTTCTCGTTTATATTTATTTCTAAGATCTCTTAAAATTAAAATATAATCTCTATATGGTGGACTTTTAAAATTTTCTTCGTATACTATACCATGTAATATTCTAATAATTTCTCCACCGGCTTTAACTATTTCTTGAATATCGACCGATGTTAAAACATCTGAACAGAAACCATTTCTAAACCTGATTTTACTCCAAGTTTCCTTTTTTCCTTCTTTATTTGTGAAAGTGATATTATCTTTAGCTGGTATTGGTTGGAAGAACATGTGTTTGGGATATTTAAACCACATTGTTAAAATAGCTGTTCTAGGTCTAAATTTCTGTTCATTGAAGAGTTTTAAAAATTTTCTCTCTTCTTCTGGTAGAAAAGGTCTTCCACTTTCTGCTTTTGGATATTCACTGCCTAAATCCGATATTGCTGAAGCATACAAACCATTAGCATAAAATGCCATTAGTTTAGTACATTTTTTTTAAAGTTTTGAATTAACTTCTGTTTTGTCTTTTGTGCTCGCGCTGTATTCTTTGAATAGATTAATTATGTTATCTCTTCTTGAATTATCAATTTGTGCTCCACTTTGTGAATTATCACTTTGTGAAATACTTTCAGTTTTACTTGGTGTTTCACTTTGTGAAATAAATTCCTTTAATACATTACAAATTTCATCCATTTTGTTCGTTTCAAATATTTTTCTATTTGCCGAAACTCTTCCTCCTTTAATAGATCGTCTGATGTCTGATAACGTCTTATAAAAGGGTTAGTGTGCGAATAAACCTTTTCTACGTTTTCTTTTTCTGTATGTTTCGCAACCATTCTAGTAGTTTCATACCATTCTTCTTCAACTATTTCTTTATCGTAATTATACAAATAATACCAACCCTTAAAAGATAAAGATGGAACCGTTAGATTATTGGACATATTTTGGTTCACAACTTCTTTCGTGACTTGTTTATGTTTTATCAAACAACTTGCAAGACATAACGTATCTCTTTTAGCGTAAGGTTCCCATTCGTGTCCTAAAGATTCCCAGTTATCTTTGGTGTATTTTGCAATATCGATATCAGTGATCTTTCTCAAATTCATTGGTAGATTAGATGAATTACCCCACGCCGCTAAACTAGATGTTTCATGTTGATAGGAACATGTGAAATTAATATGTTGTAAATAATTATTATTACTTGTTATTTCTTTCTGTCTTTTCCATTTTTTCTGTAAATCTTCATTTGTGTATGGGTTAGATAAAAGTAAAGATAGAATTCCTCTTGGTGTTTTTAAAGGGCATTGTGTTAGTTTTTTTATATTTTTAAGCACGATCCAGTTATCAAAATTGCTACCGTTATGAGAAATTAATATTAATCTCTTTCTATCATATTGACCTAAATATTTCAACATTTGAACTATACAATCTGTACCTACAAATATTTCTACTATATTCATTAGTTTATCATAAAATTCTTCTGGAACATTATCTGTAGGATTTAAATCTGGAAAGAGATTATTTATTCTGTCTAAAATTTTTCTTACTTTTTCTAAATTAATTAACGTACACGCATAAGGAATTGCTTTACGCGTTTCACTTTCTGAATATGTTTCACAATCCCAAGCAAATAACCCAGCATCACTTATACTTGAAAACACGTTTAGTTCCAGAGGTGAAACCTGTGTTACTGCGTTATCGTCTCTACACGTTTTCCATACTTGTTCATAATTATCTTCTATTTCTTTAATACCCAAACTTTTTCTATTTCTTCTTAAAAGACAGAAATGTGAGTTTTGTAAATATAAAACCCAATTTACTTCCTTTTACAATTGTGGGGCGCAAATTTCTATTATTATGAGTATAAATTTGAAATGTAATATCACATTTCTTATTGAATTCATTAATTCTAGCAGATGTCATCACTCCTTTTCTATTTGCTTTTGAGAAAATATTGATGAAATTTTGAAATTCATTTGTTAAATCTTTGTTTAAAACATAATTTACACATTTGATAAAACAGTTATCATCTGTTGGTATGTAACAATTTTCACCTATATATTCATTTATATTTTTGAGTAGTTCAGTTCCTCTTCCAACTTTTGATCTTTTAATTTCTTTAAAATTGTCTTCAAGTAAAAAGATACTTCCTGTAAAGTACCAATTAGAAGGGTCAGATTTTTCTTCCATATTTCTAAAGATAGTATGAAAAGTTTTGGCATTAAAACCAAGAAGTTTCATAAATTGTTTGTGCTTTCCATCTTGAAATATCTCTCCATCTATTTCAATTTGTCCTTTAAATGTTAAAAATTTATCAGAAATATTCTTGATAATATTTGAATATAACACGTTTTCTATGAATGTTTCATCATCATTAATTTCAATTGATTCATTCATATTTTTTATATATGCTTTTTTAATTCCAATTCTTCTATTGTTATGTTCTTATCTTCTCTTGATCTTTCGAAAAATATAAATAATTTATTAAGATATGAATTTAAAATTTCTGTTTTCTTTTTATAATAAGATTTCTGTTTTGATGTATAACGTATAGCAATCAACCCACAAGATGAAGTTTGAATAGCAGTAGCTGTTGCTAATAAAGTTAGGATAAGTATTGGAACCATTAATCCACCAGTTACAGCCGTTGCAATTGTTGTTCCTACTATTAGAACTACACTCAGTTTTTTGAAAACAGAATCAATTCTAATCCATCTTTTCTTACATTTATTATACTATTCTAGTTTTACTTTTAACTCGTTTTGTTTGTCTATCATATATTGTTGTCTACTTTCGAGTTCCATTATTAAGTCATTAAATTAAGTGAATTTCTGATAAAGAAAAAGATGGATATTGCTCAATATTTACAATAGGGAACCCTTTAATCTCTATACCTCCTCCTATTATTTTTCGTTTATCTGTTATCATTACTTCGGGTGTAAAAATAGTAACTTTTACAGATGCTAATGATATTTCTTCTTTCGAATTATTAATCTTATTTAGATGAACTGTAATTTTTTTTTCAATATTAATCTCTATACTACATCTACAAGTATATATTCCACCAACTTCTTTATTACTATCTCCTTCATGACGTTCAATTATTGATGAAAATATTATAAATTCTTTATCTTATTGACTTTTGTGAATATCAATTGAGGTAAATAAATCAGGATAATATTTTCGTACATTGAGTGAAAAACTAGTATTAACAAAATATAGTTTTACATATTCAAAGTCTAATGTTCTTAAAAACGTATAACTTTTTATTGTGTGTGGTTTTTGCGGAGTTGGATTTCTAATAATGTTCATCGACGGTGAGCTTACCGTCTTTAATATCATATCAAAATTACCTGTTGAAAGAATATCGCTGTCATTGTCTGGTATTATTGACAATCTAAAGATGTCAATATATTTGTTTTAATTTCATACATATGATTAGGCTTGTTGTTTTCATCGTTAACTTCCAAATCTTTATTTTCAGCATCATCTTTGATAAATTCGAAAATCTTACGAGCGTTAAAATAGTTAGATGGGTGAGAGAAAAAGATTGAGTCGATTTTAACTTTTGCAGGAAAAAAAATGCAATTAGAGCTTTACCTCGGAAAGAAAAGTTTCCTGAATCATCAAATATGTTTTTAACGTTTCCACTTATGAAAATACTTTTATTTTTAATATAAATCCATATCCTTCCAAGTGATATGTTGTTTCACCTGTAGGAATACGTTCAGTATTTCTCACACTGAAAACTGGAAGATTGAAATAATATGATTTTTTATTTTCCTTGAGATGTTTTTCTAATGTGGCTATATTTTTTTCCTGTTTTAAAATTTCGTTATTAATAATAGTTATCTGTTGTTGAATCTCACTATCATAAATATTTTGTATCAGTTGATTAATATTTGTTAGTTCTTTTTTTAATTCAGTTTTAAATTTAGTTTCTAGAGCAGTTGATTCCTGTTGCCATGTGTCTTCACTTATACCTGGTTTAATATTATCTATTAGTTGTTTAAGGTCTATTTTTTGTTTTTCTATCTTATCATCTAATTTAGATATTAATGATTTTAAATTTTCTAATTGAGTTTTATCTACTAGATTGAGTAATTGTTTTTGAATAGTGACTATTTCACTATTATCATTAAGTTTAGTTTCTAATTCAGTTAATTGTTCTTCACTTATACCTGGTTTAATATTATCTATTAATTGTTTAAGAACTATTTTCTGCTTTGTAACCTTATCATTTAAATTAGATATTAATGATTTTAAACTTTCTAATTGAGTTTTATCTACTAGATTGAGTAATTGTTTTTGAATAGTGACTATTTCACTATTATCATTAAGTTTAGTTTCTAATTCAGTTAATTTTTCTTCACTTATACCTGGTTTAATATTATCTATTAATTGTTTAAGAACTATTTTCTGCTTTGTAACCTTATCATCTAAATTCGATAATAATGAACTTAAACTTTCTGAGTTTTATCTACTAGATTGTCTAATTGTTTTTGAATGGCGACTATTTCACTATTGTCATTGAGTTTGGTTTCTAATGCGGCTAATTCATCTTCATTCATACCTGGAATAATATTATCTATTAGCTGTTTCAGATCTATTTTTTGTTTAGTTATCTTATCATCTAATTTAGATATTAATGATTTTAAATTTTGTAACTGAGTTTTATCTACTAAATTTAGTAATTTTTTTTGAATAGCATCTATTTCACTATTATCATCGAGTTTGGTTTCTAATTCAGTTAATTTTTCTTCACTTATACCTGGTTTAACATTATCTATAAGTAATTGTTCTTCAATAAAACTTCACATCGCCTATTCTTTCGTTTAAATGTTCTTTATTTACTTCAATTAAATTTAATTGATCCATTAAATATTTCTTGTGAACAGCATCATAATCATTTTCAGGTAACTTTAAATTAGTTATGGTAAAATTATTCATATCTAAACCAAATACCTTTCCTAGGAGTGCCGAGGAGAGAAATAGGA